AATAAACGCGCTTGTGATCCCTACCATCAGTAGAATCTTTTTCGAAGAAATTGGAGATTTCTTCTCTTACATTTTACTCGTTTGAAATAATAACAGCAGGTAATTATGTTCTTAATTTTGGATTATTTTGTATTTTGTATAAGACTTAAAATTTATATATATATATATATATATTGTTATGCTGCTTTTTGGTTCTCAAGAGTTATTCATGTTTTACATGTGTGCATCTATGGGAACAATTTATCTTTTTTAATTATAATTTTTTGCTTTCGAGGGAGGAATTTCATTTTTGTCTGGGGTGGAAAAATTGCTAGAGCCGGTCTTGGTCACAGTCTAGACCGTTGATACTCACCTGTGGCCCACCAGCCTTTTCTGAATGACCTGGCCATGGCCTATTGCACTAAGAAATTTGATTATTTAAGAACAATGTACTAAAAATTTATCTTTAAATTCTACCAATCAATTTTACTATTAATATTCTTTTTGATTGTGGAATACAAACGAGAGCTTGTTCAGGGATGAAAGGAAATTGAAATTACCCTATAACTCAGTAAAAAATGCGTAAAAATAAATATTTTTATGCGAGTTTGATAGAGAGGTTAATATTGTATTAAAACAAAAGCTAAAAAAAAAGGAGTTATTATATTTTGATCAATTTTGCTTTGGTCTTATAAGAATTTTCCTCTCATTGTCTTCATGTTGCAGCCCGCTTGAAATACTTGTTATAGGTATGTGGCCCGGCAAGAAAAAAGGTTAAGGTTTACACAGTATCGAGAACAGGGGCCGGCAACCTTTTAGATCTGGCATGCAAAACTAATCTACCAATGTGATATTGCGTGCCACTCAGGACATGTTTGAAATATTTCGATTCCCACGATAATGCATGCAGAATTAGAGAATAAAGATCCATTATATAGATATTTAGTTATAGTTTATTTAGTAGTATTAGCTTTATTATATATTAATTTTGCATCATTTAAAGATATTTCTTAAAACACACACACAAAACAGCATAAAATATATTTATTTCTTCAAAAATAAAATATATTAAAATTGTACATATGTTAAGTACTCTGAAACAAAGTTATTAAAATAAGAAATATACAACGTAAAATATATAAGTATTTCCCTTCATTATAATTAAATAAAAAGATAAATAAAAATTTTAAGCAGAACCTAATGCTTGCACCGCTCTGTTTTCATATCACAAAAACAAAGGCATAATTTATGACTTTCAATTTGATACGATTCTGAACATTAAGTTGTTAAAGAATTTCTTTGCGGACTCAAAATATTTTTCATATTAGGAAAGATTTTTTACATGGATATGTAGAACCAGAAGCGGAAAGCAGATTGCATGCAATTTTTTCTCTTCAAACAATTAAATCTCTCTGGCAACAGCATTCAATAATTTACAAAAAGAGCTCTAAATTAATCTCTGGAGTTATCTTTCAGATTTTTTAGTAATTCCGTAAATGTTCTGATGATGTTTGTCGAATAGGGTCCATCACAAAAATTTATCCATTTCCATCTACTAAAATATTACAAATTTGTTGAGTAGTGCAGAGTGCCTCTCTGAGAATTGCACCACGTGCCACATCTGGCACGCGGGTCATAGGTTGCCGACCCCTGATGTAGAATATATATGTATATATTCTAGATAAAATTCCAAACCTGTCTGTAAATGCTTCAATCCATAAAAAGCTTTGTTAACAGCATCAGCACGTCTCTTTATTTCATGTACAATATTGTTGTTTTGATTAAGCATTGGTTCCAGATAAAGAAATTCCGTAACCGTCTCAAATTTAAAAACTTCTGCAGATTAAAATTTGGAACTTATTTATTAATCAGAATTTTTCTTGATTTGAATTAACATTATTCTAAGATATAATCAATAGAAATTATAAATTTGAAGCATTTTCGAATTTAAAGTGAAGATTGCACTTGATCTTGTGCATTATTTTTTCTGTATTTCCTGGTGGCCCCGGTATAGAGAGGAAATAACCACGAACTCGTAGCCTATATTGTCGAATAAGGGTTTCGATCCTGGGAAGCTGAAAATTTGCTATGTAGAGCGTGAGGGAGTGAGAGTAATATTGTGTGACGTCGCTCTATAAAGCAACACCAGGGCTACTGGCTTCGGATCTCGTAATTTTGAGCCTCACTCAAATGACGATGAAGACATCTAGCTCTGGCACCCTCTCCCCTAACTACCACACCACATCACACCCATGCTATGTAGAGGGATTGATGCACTTTAAATCTGCCTTTCTTAAAGTCCTCACGAAGATCAGGTGATGAGCTCGACATTTCATCAGCTATTTTATTTTGTGGTATTCGAATCACTTGGATGTAGAGAAAATTATTTCAATCTCATAAAGAACGGATCTCTGTAACATGATTAGAACACTTAAGGAGCAACAGGGATTCCACTCAATCAATATCAAGACTTGAAGTTAGAGTTATCGAAAAGATTACTGGAAATGACTCTCTATTGACTTTGTGTTGATGGATTTTAAGTTTTTACATGACGTTTTGTGGTTGTTTGATCATTGAAACGCTAGTTATCACCTTTGTTATTTAATCACAGAGGTTATCACCAACAACCTGTCACCTTGATCTGCGATACAACGTCTAATCTAACAAATCTCTTGTGGAATGAAAAATGAATCGTGAGAGGATTTTGAAACAAAGAATTTATGTAAATAAACATTAATATTTGTATAAAATAAAATTCTACATCCATAGTAGGGTTATTTTCCAGGGAACACGAACCAGAAAATCGTAAGATTTCCGTACTTTTTGCATTTCCAGGAATTATTCTTCGTTCCCGGGAATGGCACGGGGCTTAAATATTCTATGAGATAGCTATTTTTGTCTTGACTGTGGATTTTAATCTCGGACATAAATTTTATCTGACCACACTGGGGCAATTTCCGATAATTCACACCGAATTTTCTGGAAGTAGGATTGCTCGTTACCCCAGCAATGGGGTAAGAGTGTAATAAGAGAATGAGTAATGCCCACGTAGGGGTGGTAAGAATATTTTTCCAGCTTGCCGTTTTAAAGAGTGGTTCTATGAAACCATTTGCCCTTGATCAGTTCTTGTCTGTCTATGGAGCATCGCTTCGTTAACTAAAAGTATTTAATTTTTAACGGAATCGCGTTTCGTAATCCTTTAGCATGACCAATCTGATTAGAGCTTCAAGATCTTGATTTATGTAGATAACGTAAGTACTAATACGTAAAATTATTATTTATTAAATATTTTTTTAAAAAATTTAGGATACTTTTTTTTATTAAGAACTACGATGGCTATTTTTTAAGTAAGGCCAGTTTGTTTTTTAAAAAAAAAATAACGACAATATTTTGTTTAAAAAACTTTTAGTTTAGGATTGTACATAATTTTACCTATTTTTTTACATAGTTGCCGAGTTTATCAAATTGCTTGTCATACCTTAGAATTAAGTTTTGAAAACCCTCTTCAAAGAAGTCTGCCCCTGGTCGGACATCCAAGAGTTCACGGCCGCTTTCACTTCTTCGTTGTCACTGAAGCTCTTCCCGCCAAGACTGTGTTTGAGTTACCGGAAAAGGTAGAAATTGCTGGGAGCAAGGTTGGGCCTGTGTGGTGCATGATCCAAAACCTCCCAGCCAAAAGATTCGATTAAGTCCCGAGTCGTTTGAGAAATGTGAGGCTCTCGTCTTTAAACTTCCTGGCCCATTTTCGAAATTTGCTGTCACTCATTGCTTCAGTGCCATAGACTTCTGTTATCTGGCGATGAATGTCTGCAGCCGACATGTTTCTCGCAGTCAAGAAATGGATAACAGATCTATCTCCCACTTGGCGTGCGATTCAATCAACTTAAACATTTTAAAGACGCACTGCGAAGCTTACACGACTGCTATAGAGCTGGAAATGGCCCGAGTGTGTTCGCAAAGGATGTTGGTCAGTGACGCAGAGACTGGTTTCGGCGTACGCGTGAACTAGGGAATTATACGCGCAAATGGACCTTACTTAAAAAAATAGCCCTCGTATTTAATTAAATCAGAAATTTGAAGAAGGGAATACACCCCAACTGTTTGGAGAGAATATTTTTAAGCAACTCGCTACTTTTTTCTTATATTTATTATTTTTTTAACCAAAATTCTCACGTCTTCATATCAATTTTTGTTTACGGTAATAATAATACAGCAATTCCACAAACAATAAATTGGCAAAACAAATAAAATCTTTTAAATACATTAATTAATACTTTCAATGTACGTAATCGTTATTCGGCAGCAAATAATTTTCAATTATTTATAAATATATTTGTCTCTTAGTAGCCACATTAGAGAAATAATTGATTCAGCTTTGATTGATTAATTTTCAAACGTATGTGAGTCAGTAAAGGAATAATAGTTTTAGTAATTATTTTTTAAACGTGAATTTTTTTTTTTTTGAAATTTTTAGTTTACAAAATTTTATTTCTAACTTTTTTTCCATGTCGTTTACAATATTTGCTTTTAGTGCTAAAAGGGATACATTTCATTAAAAAAAGTTCCAACTTTTAATTTAGGAAAAGATTTTTCCTCTGCGTATATGATAAAGTTGAAAAAAAATCAGGACAGTTACAGCATCTGCAAAATAAAGATAGTTTATAATAAATACATGCGCCACACTCTCCTCTCTTCTCAAAGTAAATACTTTTATATTCGAATTCGTAATATACTTTCTTTAATCACAGAATAATTAGTTATTTCTTTTCCAAATACTTCTTGCCATGGATTTCGTTTCGTTTTGTATTTTTCAATTCCTACCATTTGTTCATTCTCTCCCTATATATATATATATATATATTCAAGTTCAAATACATTTTTTTAAAACTTGCAGTGGATGCATTTGATGTTAATACAGTTTTTTCAAATATTAATTAATGAATTAATTAAGAAATGAATAAATAGTAACAAACAAAAATAATAGTCCAACAGCATATATAGAAAGGAAAATCGTTCGTTGTGTTCCTGTAGCGCAAGGGGTATTGCGTTGGACTTCTAATCCAAAGGTCGTGGGTTCGAATTCCACCTGGGATGGCCTAATTTCTCAGAAAGGGATTTCTTTTTTACTATACTATTTTATTAAAATAATTAAATTAAATTAATGAATAAATAGTAACAAAACAAGAGTCCAACACCATATACAGAAAGGAAAACGGAAAATTGCAAGGAAAATCGCTTTCTATTTTGCTACTTAATATTGTGATTCTGACATATGTATATACATATTTATATTAATTGTAATTATTTAAAAAAATAACTAAACTGGAATTTTCTTTGTTGACCTAAGTAGGAATTGATTTATATATATATACTAGCTGTTACCCGCCCGCTTCGCTGGGTATTTCATGATGTTTTATAAATTTTTACTGCTTATATATATGTATAAATTATTGATATCTTAGTCCTAGCATTAAGAATTCGATTGAATTGAAAAATATACTTATACCTGTAACTGTCACCTGTTGATAAAAAAAAAGAGCAGAACTCATCTAATTTGTATTTTCTAAAAATCTCTAAAATTGAAGCATAGAATGATGTTTGCTCTTTCGTAACTCAAAAACCAAGTGGATTCCCGCAAAACCAATTTCCGGTGGATCTCTACTCCGTAAATTGAACATGCAAGCCAAATTTCAAGTCTAAATCTAACAGAAAAAAGCAAAAGTTTTACTATAAATATCCTCGTAATCCCGTTGAGAGCCGTTTTCCAAAATTACCGCTCTTAGCGGATTTCAATTCAACAAAAGAAAAATGCAAACCAAATTTCATTATTATAGTCCTTGTAGCTCGAAAAAAGTAATTTTTTTTGTCAATACGTCCCAGTAACACCCTGCAACCCCCCAGAACTTGATTTGCTAAAATTTATTCTTAGTGGATCTCTATTCAACAAAAAAAACATGCTTAAAAAATTTCAAGTATATGGGTCTAACAATTAAAAACAGGAATTTTTTTCTGTAACTCCTCTTGACCCCTCGCAAACATCTTTGGGGGTCAATTTTCATTTTACTCTTTGTTAGAGGAACTCTATTTCATGAAAGGAACATGCCTACCAATTTTCAAGCAGGATGATCAAGTAGTTTAAAAATGGAAATATTTATCGATTACGCCTCTTAATTTCCCGAAATTAAACTTGGTAGTTGATATTCGCGAAACCCATTTTGTAGCGGTTCTCTACTTTACGAAAGGAATCTGCTTATCAAATTTCAAGACTGTACGTCTAACAGTTTAAAAATGGGGATAATTGTCTATAACGCCACTTCTGGGTCTGTTTTCACAAAACCCATTTTGTAGGGGAATTGCACTCTATGAAAGGAATCTGCTTATAAAAATTGAAGACTGTGCGTCCAATTAATTAAAAATGCAAAAAATTATCAATAACGCCCCTTGAACCCCCGCAACACCACCTAGGGGTCGATTTTCACAAAACACATTTTGCAGTGTATTTCTATCCTATGAGAGGAATCTGCTAACCAAATTTCAAGACTGTGAGTCTAATAGTTTAAAAAAAGAAATAATTATTTATATCTGCCCTTACCCCCCTGCAACACCCCTTGGGGGTCAATTTTCTCCAAACCCGTTTTGTAGCGGATATTTACTCCATGAAAGAAACATTCCTACCAATTTTCAAGCAGGTAGGTCAAATAGTTTAAAAACGAAAATATTTATCTCTTACGCCACTTATTCCCCTGCAACGCCACTTAGAGCTCTGTTTTCACAAAACCTTCTTATAGCTGATCTCTACTCTATGAAAGAAATCTCTTTATCAAATATAAAGACTGTGCGTCTAATAGTTTAAAAATGGAAATAATTATCTATAACGCCCCTTAAGTCCCCTCAACGCCACTTAGGGGCAATTTTCACGAAACCCATTTTTAGCGTATCTCTACCCTATGAGAGGAATCTGCTAACTAAGTTTCAAGACTGTACGTCTAATAACTTAAAAATAGGAATTTATAACGCCCCTTAAACCCCCGCCCCCGCAACACTCCTGGGGGTCAATTTTCCCAAAACCTATTTTGTAGCGGATATTTACTCCAGGAAAGAAACTTACCTACCAATTTTCAAGCAGGTAGGTGAAGTAGTTTAAAAACATATATTTATCTAATACGCCCCTTAATCCCCCGCAACGCCACTTAGAAGTCTGTTTTCTCAAAACCCGTTTTGTAGCTGATCATTATTCTACGAAAGGAATCTATATATCAAATTTAAAGATAGTGCGTCAAATAGTTTAAAAATGGAAATAATTATCTATAACGGCCCCTAAGCCCCTGCAACGCCACTTGGGGGTCGATTTTCAGCAAACTCATTTTGTAGCGGATCTCTACTCTCTGAAAGGAATCCGCTTACCCAATTTCAAGATTGTACATCAAGTAGTTTAAACATGGAAACAATTATTATTAAAGCCCTTAACCCCCTGTAACGCCCCTTGCGTTTCGAATTTTGGAAAATCCTTTCTTAGCTGATGTCTACTCTATCAAAGGAACATGTCTACCAAATTTCAAGTCTGTAGGTTGAATAGTTCCAGAGATTTCGTGATTAGTCAGTTAGTCAGTCAGTGAGTCGTTTTTCTCCTTTATATATATATTACTTATTTATAGATCAATATATGAATGAGTATTAATTTTAGAATTTATATGTATCCCCATTTTATATAATTACTAGCTGACTCGACCACGCGTTGCTGTGGCTTTAATACGTTAGTTCAATATTATCCTAAGCTATTCAATGCAGTCAAATTAATCTTCTATAATTTTGGAGGGTTGAAATAAAGTATAAAACAACAAATTATTTTAATTTTGCATTTCATCCATCTCCTATTTGAGTGTAGTATAATGCATGAATTACTAACGAAGTCATTAAGTAACAACATATGAAGATTTAATTTTATAAATGTGGTGAATAACGTTGATTCTTTGCAATTTTTATAAATATAAATTATTTTTATCATTTTAAAGTATAACAACAAATAATTCTATACAGCTAATCGCTACATAATATTTTTCGGTAACCCGTATTTTGCTAACTCAAATAGATTCAACGGTTTCCGCATACGTGAGCATGTAACACCTAGTTGCCCATTCGAGAAACATGGATTTTCCAAGTCCAAGTATCAAATGAATATTGTTCGGGTTTCAGATTCATTTATGGTCATCGCGAAAGCCAAACGAATCGGGAATTGAAGCCTTTTGAATGGTATTAGAGATTCTGACGGTATCAATGGAATACGTGGCAACAGTTTCCGTGGTAGAATAACCGAATTTTCGTTTAAACTTTACAGTCAAAATGTTTGCTTCAAGAAGTTCCCGGTAATTCTTCTGATGATGAAACGTGCTCCGTTGCATAATCTAGGTGGATCTAAATTACGCAAAAGAATATCCAGGGAACTAATCTTCAACCGAATATTGTGTGGTGACATTCCTGTTACTTCTAGAGAATTCAAAAAATCGGTTGGAAAATTTGCGGTTTTGTTTTCATCAACAATAGTGTCGATAATATGCAAAATTATATTATGATCGGTTGAGTAGTTTCGGAGTCCATTGCGGACAAACACTATGACATGCATATTTCATACATAAAGATATACATGTCGAATTCCAGTTTCATCAAATAAGTTCGCTCTCTACTTTTGGTTTCTGTTTGGAAAAATTCCAAAAAATCATTTATATTTGGACTCAATTTTTTGTCAACATTTCTTCGATTATATTCTAGAGTAAATTCAGTAGGAATAATTTTCAAAGCGACAGCAATCAACATAGAGCTGTAAGATTTGGGTTCTAAGCCTAACGCGGATAAGCTCCTAAAATTTACTTCAATTTCGCTATGTAACTTTTTAACTTTGGAATGTCATTCGATTTATAAACTGGAAGCAGATTTATTTTTTATGGTTATTAATTATTACATATGGTTATTAATTATTACTTCTTTTTTTCCAAATCTTTTTTAAGAAGCTCAACAGCAGAATCATAACTTAATTCATTAATCTCAAAACCTTCTATTGCTTGAGCAGCTGAACCAGATGCATAGCTTTTTAAATAATTAAATTTTTCTACTTTCGAAAGTGAATTATTATCATGGATTGAAATTTGGAACGTATTCCAGAAGCTTTAAACTGAGTACAATCTCCATAAAATATTTGAATCATTAACTTTCTAAGTTTAACACTTTTATTTGTATTTACAGAATTTGAATTCTGATCTGTACCGCTACACACAATGGAATTAATCCGAATTTTTTGTTTTATTTTCTTGTTTGCGCGAAAAATTGTAGTTATTTTGTCACAGTAATCAAATGAAGTACTTAATTCAGTGTCACATTGTTCTAATGTGTGGTTTCGCTTAAAATTAAGCCATCAATATTTTTTAACTCTTCCGATCTAGTTATTATTAAATTCAAATTTTCCTCAAGGGAATCAAAACAAGCCAGTTCTTCTTTTAATAAATTCTCAACGTTTTTAATTAACCGTGTCGCTGCCGATCTTAGTGCTGTTCGCACTTTTTTGTTTTTTCCGATGCTTTCTATTATAATGAATAAAATCTTCTTACCTTTAGCAGGCTTCACGCACTTCAAAGCGCTATTCCAATATATCAGTTAATTCAAAAAGAGAATTCAAAACAATGGTTATATTTACGATCTCATGTCGTTCATCAAATTTCGTGAACAATTAATTGTTCCAACATTTAAATCTATAATTAATCTCTTTTTGGCCAATGCTCCATGAAAAAAAAATCAATATTATCTATTCAAATAGAGAAAGACTTTGATACAACCTCTCCCCTTCGAAATCTAGTTTTATTCTCCTAATAAAAAAAATAGTGATTGCACTGATCTAAGCAATAAATTGGAAGCGAGCGTTCTGGCGCCCACATAGACAAAACAAAAGGGGAAAATTTTGCTTCGCGGGAATATTCGCAAAATCTGGCAACGTTTTTTCTGGATTCTCCCCATTTCCGGCTATAAAAAAATTATGGCGTGATTAATTGAAATAAAAACCATCCTATGTTTTAAGTTGAACGAAATGACACACAGTATGCAAAATT